AAGATATTTTACATATATATAATATATAATAATGTTATTATAAATTTATTTTAATATTATAGTGAATTTTAGTAAAGAAGTGATTCTAAAATCAGTTTTACCTATTTTTTAGTATATAATTTAATGTTGCTCAACGGCTTTCCTACTGAAATTAGCTATTACATATATTATATTATATAAAGTATATTATATATTATCATAACATACTAGGTATATTAGAGTATAAAATATATAGTAACTATTTTATATTATTTCAGTGATTTCAAAATGGAATACAACAAATTACGTTTAAAAAAGCTCGAAGATGAAAAGAAGAGTAAAACTCAACAGTTAGACAAAATAGCAAAAATGAAAGGTCCAGGTGAGGAAGTAAAATTTGCTCCATTGATTGAAGAGGTTTGTTGAATTTTTTATTTTAAAACAAAAATATATTCTAAATTTGATATTTATATTTGACAAGGCTCCCACTGGTGCAGAATGGGCGGATGTGTATTTAAAATATGATGCTGATGAAGGTTCGGAAGACGAAGAAGGTGAAGAGGAAATGCCTGACTTAGAGAGCAATATTTTCGATAAAGTATTTGATCAAAGTAAAAAATAAAATATATAACTAATAGAATTAATAAGTAAGTTTAAATAAAAATTCAAATCGTTGTAGACGGAAAAAATTTGTTTATATTTTATTAATGGATATATTTATTAACTGTCTGTCTCATTTTTGTATTGTTTTATTTTAGTTTTTGATAAATGTAGGCGCTTTTCATTGGGTGTTTGTGAAACAATATTTAAATATTAATATTTATTAATAAATAGTTATTGCTTAAAAGCTAATCATATATATATGTATGTATATATATAAATAGTTTTTTATGTAGTTTGTAATATATATGTATATATGTGTATAAGTATATATAATGTACTTTTTGTTTCTTGTAATATGCATGTGTAAATATTTGTTAAAAAGCTTTAAGATAGAACGCTTTCAATTGATATAATTAATACAATTAATAATACAGTATTGGAAAAGCAGTTAACATAAATACAATTTTAGATATTCATTAACAATAGGTAACCTCTCATTATATGTTCTAACAAGCAAAAACATTCAATATAAATAGTTTATATGCGCGTATAAATTTGTCTTAAGCATAGTTAATAGTAAGTAAGTTTATTATTGTTTTTGTGTTTACGAGCAACTTAATCTAAAATTTATTATTAATGCAGCAATTGTGCTTTTACATATATCAGTTACATAGATTAGAGACTACAGCGTTTATAGGTAAAAAATTGTTAACAAATTTAAAAATAAGCTTGCGACGGTTACGAATTCATTTATTGTTTTTTCTCTTATTTAATTTAATTAATTTAATTATATGTTTTTAACATATAGCATATGAAGAGTTTGGCTTTGGCTTTATTTTTTTAAATTATTATTATTTTTTTTTGTGCACTGTTTTCGAAATGGCAATTAATTTAAGTTGTAATTTATTTTCTGATTACAATTATTTTTATTTGTTTGTTTTTATTTATATAAGCTTTAGTTCTGAATTTTTCTTTTTGAATTTTCTATACATGATATATGTATTTTTTTTTTCGATCGCAGTTGGGTTTATTGTTTTCCGCTTTTCATATGAATTCCTTTCTAATTTGATAAAAAAAACTTATCTTATATATTTATACGATAAGTTGAAATGAAACTGTGCGAAATAGTTGAAAATATAGAGTTTTTAAATATATAAATATATAAATAAATATAAGTTATATAAAAAAATAATGCTAAAATGTTATATACCTTAGAAATATTTAACAGTGTCTGATTTACTACACGAGTAAGATTTGCTATAAGGAAATTTAAAATAGAATTTGTGAATATATTCAAATGTAAATTAATAAAATCAAAACAATTAAAATTAAATTAAAATTAAAATAAAAATGTGTTACAAGTACATTTAAAATGGGGTTACGGAATATAGGATTCAAATATATTTATTAATTTAATTGAATTAAATTAAAAATTTGCTAAAAGTAAATTAAAAATCGCATTTCTGAATATAAGATACAAACATAAATTAACTTAATAGTAATTAAATTGAAATTAATTAAATTAAAGTTAATTAAATTAAAATTTATTAAATTAAAATCACTGAAATGATATTTAAAATTGCTTAAATTTGCTAAAAGTAACTTAAAAATCGCATTTCTGAATATAAGATTCAAATTAACTTAATGGTAATTAAATTGAAATTAATTAAATTAAAGTAAATTAAATTAAAATTTATTAAATTTAAATCATTAAAATTAAAAATAAAAAGAATTAAAATTAATGACTATAAGACTAAAACATAAATTAATTAAATTGATGCTAATTAAATTGAAATTAATAAAATTAAAGTTAATTAAATTAAAATTTATTGTATTAAAACAAAATAAAATTAAATTAATAATGTTGAAATGAACGAAATTATAATAAATTTAAGAAAATTCATATAAATAAAATTAAAATGATTTTAATTAAAATCAATTCAAAAAAACCTCTTAATTAAAATCAATTAAATCAGACGTTAATAAATTAATATTAATAATAATTTTGTTTTTGAAACGGGTTATGTGGAATACTGTTATAATTAAAAAATATTTGTTTTTCAAAAATTTTTTATTTGAACCAATATTTCTACTATATTCTATAGTCATCTTCATCAGGGAATATTATTTAATTAAAATCAATTAAATTAAAATTAATTCAATTTCAATCAATTAAAATAAATTAAGTTTAATTATATTAAATTATTCAAAAGATTAAAAATAAAACAATAATATGTATTGGAAAGATATATATAAGTATTTTGGTCATCTATATAAATTTTTAGAAGTTATTGTTATTTTGAATTTATTTTAAATTCAAATGTATATAATAAAATATAATTTTTGGGATGATTATTCTTGTAATTGTTGAAAAAAATTTTTTCAAAAAATTGAATAATTAATATTTGTTTTATTATTTATTCAAACTTAAGAATAGTGCTTAAAAAAGCAGCTCAAACTTAAATGGAAACTTTTGAATCAAACACTTCTGATGTTCGAAAATGGTTAAGCTATTTAAAAATGTTACAGCTTCTAGAATAGATCATCTGCTCAATTTTTCAAAATATTCATATGTTCGTAAATTTTTGAGCGTCAAAGCTGTAGTCTGTATACTCGAACTTCAAAATGTTAGAAGCTCTACTAAATCTTAGATTGACTTCATCTTAGATAATATATGTATATATATATATATATATATATAAATCGGTTTTAATACACAATATCATTGAATGTATATAAAATAATAAATGGTATATATTGATAAAATTCCGAATAGCAAATCCACTCGTATAGTAACTAGGGTTAAATGATAGTTGTCTAGAAAATTCTCTACAAAATTAGAAACTATTTTAGAAACTAAAAACTAAAAAGTTTGAACTACATTTTATTTTCAGGAAAAAAAATGCTAACCGCTAACTACTTTTACTATCACACTCTTACAAAAATATTGATTTCTCTGCATATTTTTTACAATACATTATATGATTTTGTTACATTTTGATCGATCTATTTTTTTACAAGTTCGGTGTACTAAGCGTGTGTTTTTCTTTATAAATTTCTTAGTGTAAAATATGATTTTTTTTTAAACATAGTTGATTTTAAGATATACGATACAATGGCTTGCAGACTAATCTTGTGTCATTTATTAGGAGCTAATTAATTGTAATTATATATAAATAAATATTGAATAATAGTGGTTAAGAAATTAGGGATCAGAAAACATTTGGACAATTATAATTGAATTCATTTTTTAGCAATAAAATATATATATCAATATAAAATATATAAAAATCCTAATAATAATAGAAATTTAATTAATATAGGATAGACAGAGAACAACAAATACAACGGATTACAGTGCAACCATAGAAGCTTTTTTATTAGGTTAGGTTATGTTGAAGTGGTTGCCTTGTATACTAAAGCCCGCTTAAGCTGAAATAATGGCCACTTGTGATAGCATGGAAGGTCCTTTATACTACTACTAGTTTTAACCGAGCAAAAGACACTCGACATTTTAGAATGAAGAACAGAATATTATTCGTTAAGCAGTTACCAATATCATACCTGAGTATTAATTAATCAGGAATTAAAATATATGAAGGATTATTAATAAAGATATTGACACTTATTTAAATATGAACATGATATTGAACTAATTTACATTGTAATAATAGAAAGAAGAATTAAGAAAAGAATTAGAATTAGGAATAAGAAAAAAATTTTACACATCTTATCTTTATTTTTTTAGAATATTTTTTTTTTTTAAATAACGATACATTAAAATTTTGAAATGGAAGACAAACTAACCAGGAAAAGACCAACCTACCCGCTTAACTTAACTACTTGTAGGCTTGAAATGTTTTTCTGGTTTAGGAAACTTCTTCTCGTTCATTAAAGAAGAGAAGATTACACTGAGACAGTCTGAAATGTATAAGGAAAACTGCTTATAGATTTCTCGAAACTAAATTGTTTTAAGGATTACATGAAAATAAATATATATTGAATTTCATACGTATCCAATCAAAACGACCAAGTTAGCTTAAAGAAAACTTAAGTAAGATTTAATAATAAATAAATATAATTAAAAAATTATTATTAAAACGTTAACGGGATATGTAGATTATCACCTAACAGAACAGCCAGGGGAGATCATGGTACTGTGAAATACCTGTTGTAGAAATAAGCACTACACTGTAATACAAAAAAAAAATAAATCTAATTTTGGGTTCACATCTAATTTTGGATATATTAATCAGTCAGTAAAGTAAACTTAATTCTGCAATTAATTGCATTTGGAAATAATATTTATTAATATTATATATTAATAAACAATATTTGTGAATTAAAGTTAAAGAAACACTCTGAATATATGAAGAGTGTGCCATAGACTTTATACATCTTGCATTGAGAATATTAATAATAAAATTTTAATGAGGACGAATGACATCCTCAGG